GTCCTCGAATTTGTTGATCGCAGTAGCTTTTTGTGTAGTGGTCACTCCCCTTTCTCGAAATGTTTGTGAAAAACTGGAAGGCTGATGTGGTAAGGAGGTAGATAAAGTTGGAGGGGTTGTAGAGAAGCGTGCTAGAGGGCCGCCTTGAACTTCCGATTTTCCGCACCGCCGTGATGCCGTAATCACAGTAAAACAGCCAGCTGTCAGCGAAGTGGTGGCCGATCAGGGTCCTATTAGAGCGACCCCGAAGCGGGCTTCGTCCACGTTGGTGTATGGAAATAGGGTCCAGACATGGAAGGCGGGCAACCGTGGAGGAGGGCATTAGGGTGAATGACAGCAGTGTAATCTTCACATTTTTCCTGGGGAGTACAGTCGTTGACCTAGATAGCTCAACCCTCATTTCGTCTGCGCTATTCTTCAATCCTGACGCAGGGTTGAATTGTTTAAAGCGCGCCGGGTCAGCGAGTTGTGCAAGAATTCTTATCTTGCCAAGAAGGGATGACTAGACGGTTTATTCGAATTGATGGGATTATCACTGTTATCTCTTCCCTATCACGCAGATTTTTGAGCATCTATTTGCCTATGAAGTGTTTGTTGTTTGTGTTTGAATAACGACGCGTGGCATTCTCCTATGGTCATTTGGATTTTCGCCCTTTCTTATTTCGGCTTCTAACTTACGTTGGCTCGGATACTGCTAGCTCGCTATATTTCCTCGGAACCAGGTTCCGCTATAATTGAATGGGCGGAGGCGGGAAATCTCTTTCCGGAGCCATCGAGGGCTTCATTGGAGAGGCGTATTTCTTAGATTGTAGTATCTCTTTGCCACTGTCCATCACTCCATATGTACTGACCTTTTCCTCAAAAGCCTGAATACCCGTCCATAATATCCGTCAAACGCCTCCATTTTCTTGAGGTTTTGTTAGAATGTTAGGGAAACAACCGCAGTTTGAGACTATGGCTGGTGCGGAACATCTAACGAAAAAGATCACGGAAGCAACAGGTAGTAAAATAACTGATGACGATTGTTTTCTGTGCTGAAGGGTAGGCAATTCACAACTAGTAGCGTTTGGCTGTGTGTAAAGCGC